CACAGGAATCCCAGGATTATGTGTTGCGTTCTCCTAAAGTCGAACGCAATAAATCATCACGGCCTTCAGATACCTTCCCTTGCCCTTGTGCGCTCAAGGAATTACATTATTTAAAAGGTAGGTTAAACAACTGATATCCCAACACTCATCTCCGTTTTATATTTTCCCTGGCAGAACGATATGGAAAGATTTCATGGGACATGGAGATTTTGTGTTATATTACGACGCAGAGAGAGACTTCGAGGTGAGCTAACTTCGCTTGCAGACTCTTTGATTCCATTACCATTTGATGACGACTGACTTGGATACTATATATATTTTATATGCGTTATTTTCATGTGTGTGTGTGTACTGAAAACTTCCTGAGACCTAAACGTTGTCACTAATTATTTAAGTTAAACTTTTTAACTGAAATTGTCCAGCTGCACTGTCTTTTTTAACCAGTTTTTATAATATGTTTACCGAACACTGAGAATCCTCTTTTGGCTCGAGTAAAATGGTCAGCTTTCTCTTGATGTAAACTCTCACTAAAGTTTACACAGCTTGGAGGATAGCCCTCTATTTCAGGACAACATTCCAACATACTGTATAAACGGGTGCTAATACCTTATTTTATTATATAAACACCAATGAAATACCAGGTGAGCTTTCGCGCGAAAACTTGACGTCTTGACTGTAAAAATAACAGGTTATCTTCACATGTAAAAATATCACCATTGCTATGGTTACATAATAAATCACGCCTTTCACACCAAAAAACTATTGACTTGAAATGGTTTGGTATTTCATTGGTGTTTATATAATAAATAGATCATTACATGGCCGCTTCGTATCTCCAAGCGGCCATGTAATGTTCTATTTATTATATAAACACCAATGAAATACCAAACCATTTCAAGTTAATAGTTTTTTGGTTTATAATTTCGTATCTCCGCGCGGTCATGTAATATTCTCTATATAGAAAATTAACGCTGCATGGAATTAAAGTATTGGAAAAAAGGCGACTTGAATCAACGCAAATTTGGTGGAAAACTATTTTTGAATAAAGAACATTAACGCGAAAGAGAGGGTGACATTTTAAAATTAAGGAAATTCTGAACGCGACCTTAACAAAGGAAGAATTGAACTTGTTGAGACAAAGGAGAAAAGTGAAACGTATAATTCGAAATGGACGCTTTGTTCGTGGTTCTTTTCTTGAACGTACGAAGGGGGTTAAGCGAAGAAAGCTGGCCACTTAAAGCGTTCTACACTGTTTCACTGTAACTGGCGCATGTCCACCTTGTCCATCCTTCTTTAATGTCAAGAATGTCAAAAGTGCATTGAGAATTTGGGATCAAAATAATGGAAATTAAGGTCACGGAAATTTACGCTACAGTTAATCAACAGCGCTAAACTTAACGTTTACAGAAATTAACGCGACTAAAATTAACGCAGTTTTTTTCAAAATTGCGTTAATTTCATGAAGCGTTAATTTCCTCTAAAAAGGAAGTTCTTTTCAGGTTCAAACCAGGCAGTGGGCTTGCAACAATCCAAGGTCCGTTACTTGCAACTGTGGAGCAATAGTTCGTCTTAAGCATCATCTGATTAAATTTAGCTGCTGTAATCCGACAATGATGCGAGATAGTCACACACCCATTCAAGTTGACATACCAGGCCCTAAATGTTTGCCACCAGGTCTTTCCTTGAAGAAAAAAATCTTTGGTTCGAATATTGGTTATGAGGTACGTGCTGTTTCACATTTCCTAATGGTTTATTATAAAAAAAGAATTTATTGTTTTTCCTTATGGCACCGTGCTATCAGAGCTTTTTCTTTACTTTAGTGCTCGATTTTGGCGTAGTCAGAAATACTGAGCATGAGTCGCAATCTCGACTCAGAGCTCTTCTGCGCATGTAGAGGAGAGAGATTACGCGCGCATTCCCAAGCCCGTTAGCACTGGGGTCGAGAATGCATGAGTCGAGGAAGATCTTTGTTGAGCATGCGCGGCATGTTGCTAGGGATACAGTTCTGAGCCTAGGCCTAATAGTCTTGCGTTCGATCAGTTATGGCCCAAATTTTAACAACAAACGGTAGCTCACACTCGGAAACAAGTTTGACAAGAGAAACAAGATTGACTAGTTCAGAAATCCGGGAAATTGAACGGGGACTTCAAAGGCTTAACGTGATTCAGGCATAGCCTCGTTTTCAACTCCCCACTCCTCAAAAGGCAAAAGAAGATCAATGCGTTCGTATGTACGCAGGGTGTAATAAAGCATGTCGAGCTTTTGTTCTTCTGCACTTTCAAAAATTCTAAGTCCTTTTTTGACCTCAGTTGCTGCATCAAATTCTGAAAGAAGTTTACATTACTGTAAGCTTTTGCAAGAGGGCTGCATTTATCGTCATATCTTGAAGATTTCGCGCAAAATGTCGGTTAGTCTTTGTCAAGTATGCATGTAGCTAATTCGAAAAAGGTAAAGATGTATGGCAAATTTACGATGTTCCTCGATATCTATGGACAATTTGCAGTGAACCACGAAGGAGAGTGTTTTAACAGTTATTCAAAAATAACTGAATGAATGTTAGAGTAATGCGAATTCTTTGTAAAACTTGTTTATATCAACCAAAAAAATGAACGGACATTTTTCAGGTTTAGTTCATCTTAGTACGCTGTACTGTCATCAGTGCCGTAAAACAAAGACGAAGCTTTAATGTTGCTTTTAATAACACCCTTCACCTCAGTTTGAAGTTGTCATGTCTTGTCAAAATTGTGTTGCAGTATATATTACCATCCGGGATAAAAGTACAGTTAGAAAGGAATCACTGGGGCATCGATGTCTCGATTTATACTCCTAAGGCTAATGGAATTCAAAAAGGTCTGTGTACGTACCAAGGTACTTCCGGTGGACCACGGTTGATTGATACAAACTTTGGAAATCAGCAAAGGTATAGTAATATTAAATTGAATAGTATAAGCCAGTTTGATCATGGTAAGGTAAAAAGGTAAAGGCGCACACGAGCCAAAGGCCCAAACGGCTGGAGCTTATCCCGGTTTCATTAGCATGAGGCACCTAGGAGTATTGCTACCCCCTCTGGACGGGATGCTAGTCCATCGCAGGGTTACCCACCAGGAGTTTGTCGCCGGTACTCATTTATACACCTGGGTGAAGAGAGACAAATAAAGTTCCTTGTCTAAGGAAACAACGCGACGGGCGAGGCTTGAACCCCGCACCTCCTGTTCCGTAGTTCGAGGTGTTGACCACTCGGCTACACACGCCTCCACCAGTTATGATCATGCTACCTGTAAAATAAGCTCTTAATTTCATTTTGGAGAAAGCGTGACATACCTTGGACAAAATGAAAAGGAATGCCAGACCGCCCTACCCACCATCCCCCCTCCCCCGTCAAATACGGCCGCGCGACAGCGGAGACGCACCATTTTACCATCCTTGATTTGGTGGAAAGGGAGGTGTTGTGAAAATCGTACGTCTATTTTGTCCCAGATTGTTAGTCGAATTTTGTTGTGTTATTGTTTTGGTTCTTTGCTTTAATTATTACAAGTATTTAGAACGTTACAGCCTTACGTACTTTCTTGACTCTTTATGTACGTACTACTCAATTACATTCTTCTAAGTTGAGTTGGTCTTTTAACTTCAGGGCATCGCCAAGCTACTTCGATACGCTTCCTGCTGACGTCAATTCAGATAAAGATGGTGTGGAATATGAACAATCTTGTAGCTGTAGTGAAACACAAAATGATAAGCACACTGATGACTGCGTGGATGGCATTCCAGTTGTCTTAGCCCAAGGCTTTTTGAACCAAGGAACAGCAGGGCAGAGAATAAAAAAATGTCACAAGAATATTGCCTCACGAAAGAAAAGAGAAATAAGAGATGTAGTAGAAGGGTCGGACGATTTAACGGACGAGGATTTTAGATTGTTTTACAATTCCCTGGAGACGGATGAACATAAAAGATCAAAACGATCAGTTAATTCGATTTCTAAGGAAAATGCAACGCGATACTGCAATGAGAAATTGGCGGATACTCCAGTGGGAAAGTTGTGCGCCAAAATGGGAACGAATGTACAGGCACTGGTGAACGTCTGCTCCTCTGACATCGAGGTAAGTATCCTCAAAGCTATCCAAAAGGAGACAGATCGAAACAGCTGGCAAAATTTTATTTAATTAGCTTCTTTAGACAAGAAAATGCATATAACAATTATGAGGCTCAGGAGCAGTCGGTCGGGTCGAAGAAATCGTCGCAACGTTTCCCCCAACACGACTGACTCCGAACTGAGCCTCTGAGGATGACCGTTGATTCAGTAAAGTCACAAAGGAGTTCCAAGAAAAATGCTCGTAGTACAGTCCTATCACAACAAAGGAGAAGAAAATTACTAAGGGACAATTCAGGCCTGATGAACGTCCTGATCACCTTCGTCCCCTGGGTTCTCTCCCAAAAAGTAGGAGAGAACTCTGCGAAAAAAGAAGCCTTTATTATAAGCGTTGTTGCTTGCCTTCGCTCGACTGAACAAATAACGCCTGTTATGCAGGCTAGGAGCAAGGTTTGGCCCAGATTTACTCTCCTGAACTTTCTTCACGAGCATTTATTGTACCCATTCTTCAAAGCTTTGGCTCAAAGTGTTGTCTCATGCAGTTACCTCGTTAAAGGGGCCAAGCCAAGCTATCACCCTGGGTGTCAGAAAAATAATGGTCCAATTTTGCAGTCTGCTGGATTAATGCTTGAAATTCAGTTGGGCAAGTACTCATTCTGCAACAAATTCACTGCAACCTGATTTGTGGTAAGAAAGGTTTGAACATGGGTGGTAAAGCACTAAATATATATACCGCGTTTCAAGTTATTATGCAGCAATGCTGCAAAACAAGTTTCTCATTGTTTTACCGCTGCTTTAGTCTTTTGGGATCCTGTCGTAGAGTCCTGTGCGCTTATAAAACTTTGTAGTCCACCTATACCTTTCTAAGCCGAAAAAAACAAGAGAACATGTATGTATTATGTATGTCTTTCCATGGTCTGTTTGCAGTTTACTGGAGACTTATCGTTTGCCGTTGGAGCTGTTTCCATGTTGATGAACGAATGTAACGACGCACTTATAAAGAATATAACATTACCTGCCAGTAATTCTACAACTAATAATACGTCTAATAGCACCCAGGAGGTGATAATACCCGCTATAGTAGAAGAGATTGGCCAGCTTTTGTGTCCTAATGACTGTGCATCTAACGGAAAATGCGTCAACGGCTCGTGTATTTGTAATAAGGACTACACTGCTGAAGACTGCTCTATATCATTGTATCAAGTACCAGATATTTCAAGGTTAGTGCTCTGTCTCTGTGAAACAGAAATAACTCAGTCGATGAAATTAATATAGGAAAATCTTAAAACGCCTTGTTATGCCAGATTCTTTAAATTCCCACCCTGCTTCATGGAAAAGTATTTGTTACGCACGTGAAAAATATGTTGCAGCAGTGGTGAGTACGAGTGCTGTGTTTCCTTGTGTTAAACAGCAAATGGAAAGGCTTGAAAAGTAAGACCCGGTGAAAAGGTAAAAGAGTGCACCAGGTCCAAATGGCCGGAGCTTATACCAGACTCCTTAGCATGAAGCATGCCTAGGGGTATTGCTACTCCCCCCTCCTTGCTCGGTCAGGACGGCATGCTAGTCCATCGCAGGGAGTATGTCTTCGGTACCCATTTATACACCTGGGTAAAGAGAGAGACAAAGTGGGGTAAAGTTCCTTGTCTAAGGAAACAGCACGACGGGCGAAGCTTGGATCCCGGACCTCCAGATCCGAAGTTCGAGGCGTCAACCGCTCGGCCACACATTCCTACACAAGGAGGGTTATAAGGATTTATAGCTATAGTATCCACAAGACTTTGCGGTCTTGTAGCTTAGGGTTAAGTGCCTAGATTTGCCGTCTCTGTAATGTTTTAATCTGATAAATTCAATTTTTTTGGTTTTTCTTATTGTGAATTTTATCTTTCAGACTTCAAACAAATGGTTTGTGCGATAGACGAATAAGACCTTGTAAGAAAGTTTCGGTGTTTGGAAATGGTTTTCTTAATTCTACAAACATAACTTGCCATATTCAGGAAATTGAGGTATCATGTTATGATGATAGTACATCTTAAATTCTATCCCATATTTAGATGACAAGTAAGTCGTTGCAAAAGCAAAAAAAAGAAACATTATTGCATTTATAACTTAGTTACGTAGCCTACAGTCTCTTAGATGCCTAGGTATGGACTAAGTTTTGAAAATACGTTCTCCTACGCGAGTTCGTAGATCTTGTTTATCAAGCATCAGTAATCCTTTAAGAAACGTAGGGACTGTTACATTTGATGCTACGAATACAAACACAACATGCAAACACAAAGTTCATCGATCTTCCTTTAGAATCCTTTCTTTTTCTTCGAGGTGAATATTTTGCATTTTTCTGAATCTGCTTGAAAGCGCGTGGCGTACGAGAGGCACTCTGGGGGAGTAAGGGTGGCGCATGCTTCCACGTACCAGTGTGGTCCCGGGTTCGAATCCTGGCGTCGACGCCATATGTTGGTTGAGGTTGTTGCTGGTCCACTCCTTTGCTCCGAGAGGTTTTTCTCCGGGTACTCCGGTTTCTCCCTCTCCTTAAAAAACCAGCACCTCTAAATTCCAATTCTATCTGGAACCCACGGACGCATTTCAGCGAGTTCTTAAGAAATCATAAGTGTTCCGTGGGTAAACAAATTACTACAAACTACAAATTTACAAGGTACCAGAATTTGGTTACCCGGTTAAGGCAAAGCGCAAACGATGATCTCTCTACGGATAAAATCTTTAAATAGTTATTTACATTTCATTATTCCATAGCGCATTCTCATTTTAATTTCTGGGGCTGAGTAAGATATGAATACAAAAAGAAAATAAGCCTGACCAAATTGCCTTAAAAAGGGGTTCAATACACGAAGCCACAGTATAATTGCCCCCCTAAATCGCCTAAATTTTCTTCACCCTTAAAAGTAGGCACAGTTACTGGTACATGGCTATCGTTTCTTTACTTTTTTTTTTCATGTTACTGTCAGGTTGTCAACAGTTCGTGGACACCAGCGACGAATGAATCACAATACTCGGGTGCCATGACTGACCTTGTTATTGTAGAGTGCCTTCTTCCAGACTCGCCAGTGAGGAGTACCCAGTATGATGAAAAGACCAAAGGAATTCCAGCTGCAGGGCTGATGATATCTGTGTCAAATAACGGCATTCACCAAAGCAAACAGAAGCTAAAATTTATATCCTATGATTCAGTTTGTATGGAGTGCAATGTTTCCACAGGTTGCGTTCTTAAGGCAAGCTTAACAATTTTACCCTGTTTTTTTTTGGATGTGTTAGAGTGAGATCGAACTGACTTTGGAATGAAAGTTTTCAGGCAATAGGCCATTAAGTGTTACCGATTCATTACCATAATCAGCTTCACAAACTTATCGTTATAATGAAAAAAAAAAAGGTTTTATAATCGAACCTGGCTGTCTGCTTTAGTCGAGAACAGAGACCAACACAGAACGGATTACATACATACATACAACTACCAGGACAAAATACCTGAATAGGACTGTTGTTATGGACAGTGACTGACGTTTCGGCAACCTGTGAGGTAGTTATCTTTAGAGTCAAAGTGTTATGTTATTTTTATTTCACAATAAGGACAAATCCTGCTTTATCAAAGGCTACTGTTTTGCACCGAACGAACCAAACCCAAAGGACTGGTGTCAACAGTGTCTTCCCGAAATTAATAAAGCCGACTGGACCAAACGCCAAGGTACGTTCGACAAGGTGCTTGCCATTAGCTTTACAGTTACGACAGTGAACGGGTGATCATTTCCAAATAAGAGGAGGAATAGGGGGTTGCCATTGGTCAGTTTAAGGCAATTTAATTCTTCCATAGACATTTTGTAAAACATATTTTGAAATGATGAATATAATTACGAACTTCATATCCTCGGAAGGGTGCCATTTTTACGCAAGAGCGATCGCAAAAAGGAGAAAAGCGTGGTTTCATTTACGCATGAGCAGAATATTATTTGCTGTCAAACACAGACGAAATTGCGCATGAGCAGACCATTATTTTTGGCAGTTATTTGCAGGTCACGTGGTGGGCTCTCGGCCAATGTAAAGGAAGAAAAATTTGCATCGAATGATAATAATTCTTCTTTCTGTATATACTTTCAGTCAACCACCCTCCCAACGCTACCAATATAACTGACTACTATGCGGTATACGGCGAGAGGCTTGAACTGCCAATTGAAGTATCAGATCCAGAAGGAATGCCAATAACCATCTGTCTACTGGAAGGAAGTCCTAGGGACGCAACAGTGCACAATAGTGTACTTCTTTGGAACGTCACAACAAACAAAACCACACATTTTTATTTCAAAGCTACTGACGCTTGCCAAGCTTCATCGACTTTTAACATCACCGTCACAGTAAATTTTTGCTCATGTCAAAACAATGGTAAATGTGTCCCTCAATCCCCGCGGGGGCGAGGGTCGTATTTGTGTGACTGCGCTCCCGGTTACACTGGAATGAACTGTTCAACTGAAATCAATGAATGTGATTCTTATCCCTGTTTCAGAGGTAAGTGATTATTTTTTCATGCCCAACCGGTGGACAATTGTTACAAACGACATCCGAAGCTTGAAACATGGGCATGTTCTGATTTGGGTCTAAGTGTCACACACATATAATCTTCACTGGTCAGGATTACCATCATCGTTTTCTTTACATTACCATCGCTGATAATTGTTAGATGATAACAACAGTTTAGCAATAAAACCTTTCACAGTTTACCAATAATGGTTATCATTATTCTTGATAGGCTTTGCAAAATAGTTTGTCTTCTTCAGATTATGAAGTCGTTGTTTCGGTTTGTTGATGTCATTGTCAGAGCCATCATCGTCATCGTCATCATCATCATTACCATCAGCATCATCATTATCAAATATCATCAAATTCATTATTACTATTATTATCATTTAATTGAAATATATGAAATGAATCATATTAAGATCATGTTTATGATTATTAAAAATACTATAACAATCGTCATCAACATTATCGTTACTATTGACGTTTTCATTGATAAACCCCGCTTATTTGTTATTTGTTATTTTCTGGCTTCCAACAGGTAGCTCTGAATATCATTCATAGACTAACACATTTATCAATATTATCACATCAGGTCAATGCCAGGATCTACTTAACAACTATACCTGTATCTGTGAACTCGGATTTGATGGAAGAGATTGCGAAAATGATATCAATTATTGCAAGCCATCGCCCTGTGTACACGGTAAAATGTTATGTTAGCTTATTTATTATTGAGAGCTATTATTTTCGTTTCAATAACCAAGATCGCTTCTGGGACAGGAAAGTGTATTTCAAGTGACAGACGCGAATATTTCATCGATGTTATAGAATTAAAGTAATTCAAAACTAAATGTTCATTTTTATACTGCTTTGTTTATTCAAGTTGTTCGATCTTATTCTAGCCGATATATCAGATGAAAAGTTTGTTTCGAATCATTAAGAAAATTCTTATTATCACTAACATAAAATCATTATTATCAATCACTACTTCTAAAGATTTTTACTAAGCGAAACAACTCAAAGTACCTTGCTTGCATGCAAATAATAACCCGTTTTAGAATTAACAACCAGTTTCTTTTAACTCTTAAGTCACAGTTCCCCCAATTAGCATAATTATTTTCTTTTTCGTATTATAAAAATATTTATGTACATTTTGATCACAGGTAATTGCACTGATGATATTTATAGTTACATCTGCAAGTGTGAGGCCGGTTGGACTGGAAAAAGATGTGAAGTAGAGATAGACGAATGTGAATCATCACCGTGCGTCAATGGTAACAGATCTTTCCTTTTACCAACATTTCTTCCTCAATTTGTCCGCAATAAGTTTTTTGTCGTAAATTTTGTTGAATATGAATGTCCTGCTGTGTGTTATCCTGTGTAGCACTGTTCGTGCGGAACACAGCATTACTTGATTCGGTAGCCTGTACAAAAGTCTTGATCGAACGCGCCAATTACATTCAACCTATACTTATGACATCCAATGCTGAGATATTTGCTAATTATTGCTTCATAACGACGGACCCTTGTTGAGAAACTTTGAAGGGCTTCGTGAACCCGTTTCGTCAATGAACAGTTGTCTGTTAAAAAAGAGCGCGGGCAACAGAGCTAATCGATTACGGATCATGTCCAATACCTTGAATTCTTTTCGATTCATTTGTTCTGGAATAAAACCTCTATATACTTCCTCCTCCCCTAACCTTTCTAAAGCCCCGTTCAAACGGACGCAACAAATATTGGTGGCCAACAACTCCCAACATTGTTGGATGTTACTTGTTGCGTCTGTTTGCACACCCTGTTACATGTTGTTGCGTGTTAATGGGAGATGATGCACCAAGTTTGAAACTGGTCAAACTTTTAGCTACGTGCAAACTGACACATCAACTCTCAACACTGTTAGACCAACAAAGTTGGGAGTTGTTGCGTCCGTTTGCAAGTGGCTTAAGGTCACGGATACGCACGACAAATTTCCGAACTGCCTATTTTCACCACCACAGTACTACGCAAAAGAAATCAGAGCGAACTTCGCCGAAATTTGGCGAAATTCGCTCTTACAATTGGCACTTAGTACAATTTCCTTTATGTTGAAGGGACATGCAAGGACCAGTTAAATGGCTACCAATGTCAGTGCCAAGTGGGATATACTGGGAAAAACTGTGATGTAAACATTGATGAGTGCCAGTCATCTCCTTGCAAAAACGGTATCATAATTCACTTTATATGAAGCTTAACCTTGTAAACTCTAGCGTAATTGATAACTTAATCGACGGATAACTTTGGTTATCGCCGAGGCAATCGCTGTAGAGAAGAACATAAACTGTTTGTCTAGTCAACGTTAATTGTTTGTAATAATTTGATGTGACGATTTTGTTCATATATTTGTTTGATTGTTAATATTTTCGCTCAGCTCGTTCGTAAGTATTCATGCGCTGATACGTAAGACGACCCAAATATGAGATTTGATATCAGTTCGGTTCCACTTGTACGTCACGACGGAAAAACAAACTTACAGCCCTGTACTGAATCCTTAATAACCTATTTATTCGAGTACGAACACGTGTTTTGAGTAAGAAGCCTATTTAAGGCCGTCAGATAGTATTTGATTTCGTCTTTATGAGCAGATAAATTTTAAAGAAGTAATGTCGATTTTTAATGGCGCCGTAGCAGCTGCATTCTGTTAAGTTTCGGTTTTGATTTAACGGTCACATCTAGTAAGGGAGTTATATAGCACATATATGCTCAAAGTTTAACGCTTATGGTACTCATACCCAAGGAACTTGCCTGGACAAGGTGAACGGCTTCAGTTGTACCTGCGACGCTGGATTCAGTGGAGTATTATGCGAAGTTAATGTGGACGACTGCCGTCAAGCTTCCTGCGGAAATGGTGAAATATTCGCAATTACATTTTACTCTCGTAATGCACTCATTTAAAATTTAATGTAAGTGAAAACGAGCAATCAATGCCACCGCCGCTCGCATGACTACACTCCTGTCACGTGCACTTATCAAGTGTTATCTCTTAACCATTAAACCCCCAGAGTGACAAATTTTACCATGACGTTTTCAATGAGTAAATGAGCAGCCACTGGAAAAAAGATCTGAAAATACATCGGTATCAGATCATGATGATGATGATGATTATGGAAATACAACACGGTATGCTTTTTGAACTCTTCCAGAACTTAAACTATAGCGAGGTCAAGTTCGGCGTATACACAATTCTCAAATAGCCCTTTTCCTTTCTCCCGTTGCTTTTGTTAGACCCGAAAGGTAAAGCCAGCATAGGAATTAAAATGTTTTGAAATATTTGCTGACTCAATATATCTGTATCGATCGTCATAGAATACCCGCTATAAAAATATATATATTTATATATAAGGCCCGAGGCTCAACATTCATTCATGGATATGGATAGTTGAATTTTAAATGGAGAAAACATTCGCGACTACAATGAGTGTAACTTTTTCTTTGTTTTAACTCAGGTACTTGCCTTGATGGAGTGAACAATTACAGCTGCATTTGTAATGCTGGTTTTACGGGGCGACACTGCGATGTTCTTATTACAAGTTGTAGCAACGATACTTGTTTCCCCGGTGTGCCTTGTACGGAAAATAATAACTCTATCTCCTGTGGTTCTTGCCCATCTGGTTTCACGGGGGACGGGAAAAACTGCAAAGGTAGGATAGAAAACAAGGTCGTGCAATATTCAGACTTAATCTGGCCAATGTCAGCCTCTCATCATAGGCGACCACACCTTCGCAAGCGACCGCGACAACTTTTGAAGGTGACGGTCGGCTTTCCTTTGATTCACCCTTCCAACATACCATTTGACAAATGGTGTGATCGATAATCACTGTAAATTGGACAATACTACAGCTCACAACCACTGAAGAGACACAGTCGGAGATTTTTTTTGGTAGCGATTTCTTTTTTTAACTGAGATCGAGTACAGTAAAAGAAATGTTGGACCTGTTATTGGTAACGTAAAAAGTTACCCCCACACCAAATCTTAAACATAATTATGGTTACTCCCATACAAAAGGTTCGACTTTACATGTATATCCACGGTCTAAGCTAGACATTGCAATTTACTTTTCTAAATTCCTTTGACAGATATCGATGATTGTGCTAGCCACCCATGTTTTAATAACGGTTCGTGCTTGGATGCTGTCAACAGCTACTCATGCAATTGCTTAGGTTTTAACGGAAGTCGTTGTGAGATAAGTAAGTTTCCACGTTGTACGTACGTTGTATTTGCATCTATCCACACAATCATCCCATCAACAATATATCTATCCCCTGATAATTTCATTCGTACGTTTCTCCATCCCGGCTTTCTTCCCGACTTGTGTTACGCCAATTTAAAGACTAAATTTTCTGGTGATTATCTTATTTACAGACATCGACGATTGTGTTAATCACACCTGTGCTAACGGTGGATCTTGCATGGATGGCGTAAGTACCTACACTTGCAATTGCCCACCAGGTTTTACTGGAATGTATTGCGAGAAAGGTAAAGTTTCTAACACTTTAGAACTTTTAACACTTATTTTCCAAAGAATCCAATAATTCCACTGTTCTGTCAGGTATAAAAAGTTGAGACAGTTTTTTTGTAAAATGGTTAGTTTTAACTACTTTCTATTGCCAAAATAAATTGTAAAATTCATTGAGTGAATTTAGTTTTTCAAATAGGTGTACAGCAATGAGTCATCTCCTATTTTTAGCGATGGATTATAGATATGGTAATGGTTATAAGTACTACCACAAGAATCCCAAGATTAGGTGTTGCGTTTTCCTAACGTCGAACGCAATTAATAGTAGTAGTAGTGGTAGTGGTAGTGGTAGTAGTAGTAGTAATATTCAGGTGATTATTATTGACCACTCCAGAAAATACCGTAACATACCATAATGCACTTTGCTCTCAAATTTTGCATAAGCATTGTTTTCAGCTTCTGTTGGGACCATTTTAACTCCCAAGAGAAACTGAAGATAATGTTTATGCAAAATTTTGGGGTGAGAAACAAAGAGTATTATGGTATGTTATGGTATTTTCTGGAGTGGTCAATTGTCATTCTTTATTTACAGACATAGATGACTGTATTAATAACACATGTAAAAACGATGCCACATGCATAAACGGCGTGAATAGTTACACCTGCAACTGTTCAGTTGGTTATACTGGAGGTTACTGTGAGAATAGTAAGTTAGAAAATTTCTTTTATATTATCAGTTGGAATCTTTTAGTTTTCTGTCATTTACTAATTTTTACGTTCTGTTTTGACGTTATCGAACGGTCGCGCGGTAGTGCGAGATTAATAGACCATTTGCACGATGACGTAAATATGATAAATTGTCTTCATGGGTATTTAACTAGCGTTATCCTAATGATTTTTAAATAACAATAGCCCTAATTTGCACAATAAAGCAAAACTCTGGAGGATTATCGTAGTAATGGTAGTGGCAGAGGCAGCAGTCAGCAGGAGCGGCAGGCAGCTGCGGTGGCGGCGACGGCATCGGCAGCACCAGCAGTAGCAGAAGCAGAAGCAGAAGCAGTAGTTGGTTAAGCTAGTTTTCATTTCAGGGATTTTAATTAACCTGTCATTTCCTGGCCAATCAAAAAATGGAAGAGTTAACGACGACAATGTCTCCCAAACCTCTCATGGGTTCGATCGGCTGCTCAGTCACAACGTTCTGTAACGCTGACAACGACCAATATTGTTGTTTTCAGATACTCTTTGGTGAAAAGAGGGGGTGGTAAAGAGATTGTATTATGGAGATTCGAAAACAGTCAATCAGAACAATTGTAAGGTCAGCCGCTTTCTTTTCATTATTAAAGGCGAGTTGGTCACCTTCAAGATTGTTTCCCGTCCAGATGATGCCGCGCGTTCACGTCATTAACAAGAGTGTTTCTCACTCAACCAAGTTTCTTTAGTTGCGTTTACGTTTTGTGCGTGGTTGCTTTCAGACATCGATGATTGTATCAGTGTTACTTGCAACAACGGCGGTACCTGTCAAGATGGGATAAATAGCTTCACCTGTGTTTGTTCATATGGATACATTGGAAAATTTTGTGACACAGGTAAGCAGAAAGTCTATTTCTAAAAATCATGGAAGGAGAGAGGTAGCGTTTGTTTCCACTTTTTCATGGTCGTAAGGCATCTACAATTAAGCGGGCAACAACAGCGTACAACACACCAAAGAAGACGCTGGATACCAAGTTTTCCTGCCAGCGAATTGAATTTGATTTTTCGTTACGTTCCTCAATTTTCACTGCAGTTAAGCTGGTAACTGCAATAAATTGTATAAGTTTTTTTTTTTCTGTGTCAATAATCTGCCTCGTAGTATCGACCGTTTTGCCCCCCAAAAAGAATCACTTTGACGAAAGAAACGAACTATTGCCACCTTTCCCCCTGCGAGAAAGAGCTTTAGTAGTTCTTAAAAAAGTAATTACCCCAGATAGGTGATTACCATAAACAAACACCCTTTACAAACGACAAAAATAAATAAACAAATAAATAGAAGAACAAATAACAGTATTGTGGCTAGCATGATATGGGCCGCTGCAAGTTATTAGGTTAAGTCAACTCAAATAATTGTGTTTCTGTAAATGAATGGTATATTTTATTTCAGAGTTACCGACTACATCTTTAGAGAGTACCACAGAGCCGGCAAAACCAACAACCGATGAAGTCTCCAATGAACGGAAGACAGGTTGATAGATTGACATCCATAAAATCATAAGAAACATGTTTGCATTTAAACAAATCAGTCCACGCATTTTACTCCTTGACTTACACGAAAATTGACGAAACTACCTTTTTTAAATGGTGCTGGTTTCAGGCTGCTGTTTAACGGACCTACATTGTATAACATCATTTACAATGCGACTCTGGTAATGGCGGCAGTCTTGGCGACCATCTTGACTTTTGCTATAGTCGTGTTTTTGCGCACAAAAAAAAATTCAGAATCAACTTAGTGCCGCTGTTATGTCATATCTCATAACCATGACAACCAATTGTCACCAAACTTGCCAAAAATGTGTCTAAACATTGGAGAACCGCTAAAAAGAGGGGTGAGATTCTGTAAGTCAGAGAATTTATCATTATCATTATTATTGATCATAGCTATTATTATTATAGTCATCATCATCATCATTATTGTCATTATTATTATTATCATGTTTTTATTAAAAACTGTGCTATCATTATTTGCCATTACGACAGAAATATCTACTTCACATCTCTGTACATTTTATTTCTAACCAGATTTCACTTTCGAAATTCGTGTTAACGAGAAGTGGGACGACCAATTAGAGGATAAAGACAGTGAGAAATATAAGAAAATATCCACATTGCTCAAAGAACAGGTACAGTTAAAAAAGGATATCTTTTATTTTCTTGTCGGCAAAGCTTTTCATTTGCGAATCCCGTCTTAATCCCTTTTCATGTTACCCCGTATTTGGCATGGTTCAGCACATTCCTACATGTAGGTGATTCTTACTACTATGTCCAGCTTAAAGGGACTGGTTCACGATAATGCGCATGTGTGAGTTCTGACAGTAGCTGATTGTTTTTCAACCAATCGGAAGCGAGTTAGATGCACGCAAGTAAATTAACAAAATTCAAATTAATTGTTCGCGACGCGAGAGTATTTCCGGGCATTTGGTTTGATTTTATTTATCCCCATAATTCAAGTTTATTCTTTGCTACTCCTCAGATATATGTTGCAGCCGATAAGAATAAGATTTACAGCCCTGTCCTGCTTTGAAACAAACATTTACCAACGTGTATTTTTACGAGGTCGTACCCACGCTAACAAAACAGTCACCGATCGGCAAACAAAATTTGTAAAGAAACATCTGATTACTGTTCTCTCAGTTCGCCTTATATAAACCCAGAAATACCTACAAATAGCGCCTGATCGGTGACAAAAACACACAACGTATGAGTATAAAGATTATCCTTAATTGAGCATAAATTTCAATTGCTTATCAGCAAATGAACAAATTCATTCGCGTTGCATCGGGTCAGTGTTCCGCAAAACAAATGTTATCGAGAAGCACACATAAAGTAACTAGATTACAAACAGAATATACAGGCAATAATTTATTTTAAAAACATCAATTCTTAAACATATACGATCGTAAAGCAAAGATACAAGGAACATTTCAAGTGTACCAGATCGATGAAGATCGCGCGGCCTGTTGCGGTATAACTACAGGTCGGAGCCAAAAATCAAATCAAAGTTGAACGAACTCATGCCTTTAACCACTTTCCAAGTGTCGTGTATTCTTTTCCTATGCCACACACTACTCCTAGAACCATACCAGATCGATAGGCTAAGCTTGTCTATCTCCAGAGACTCTTGAGAACGTCCTGTTGCCGGACGGCCACGATGCTCTTCTGAACCTCCATGATCAAAACATTATTTTTTGCGTCTTCTTAAAACGTAACCAGTCAAACGACACAACCACACGTTAATCACCACTACCGAAGTATAACTAGACCAGCCAAAGCGACGGATGTCCGAATAAAACGAAGGATTTTCAATGATTGTACCGGTAATGGCAATTTCGAATTTAGTGTTGACCCGACAAATTTATTCTGAAGAGACAAACGACGCGCATGCGCATTATCGTGAACCAGTCCCTTTAAGCTCGCACTGTCTTGCTTTCACTCGCGCTTCCATAGTCACGTATTTAAATAAATAGAGCCCTCTTTCCACATGAAATCAAGGTCGCCATGTTGGTGTCCCAAAACAATCAAACGGCGACCATGAACTAGTCCTGTGGGAGTTTTTAAACTATTTTCGTGTGCACACGTAATAAATATTTTTCATGGCTGCTGGCCCCGCGAGTGACGAGAAAGCACTATGGTGGGCTAAGTGAAGCAACGAGAAACTGCCGCTTGACGTTACCAACGTAATTTGTTCGTAAATACAGAAGGGAACTCTAAATTTCTCATTTTTAGTCTAATGCATTCTTCCATCGACTTTGCAGATTTTAAAGGCATATTCTGGAAATTCTGAACTGCAAAATGTGGAGATAATTTCTTTAAGGTAATGTGTATTTAAATGCTGAGATTATTATTCTTGAGATTATTAGAAGCTTCATCATAACCACCATTGATATCATTTTTTATGAAAATTATTATTATTATTATTATTATTAATAATATGTGACAAATCAATCCTAAATTTTGAGGCGAATTTTTTTTATTTTTAAAATGCAGATGTGAAATAAGTAAGTGGTCGGTTCAATTGCCTAAAATTAGGCAATCATTTTACTTGTATTTAAATTCTAATATTTTCTCTCACCTAAACCGCGTGAAACTTTTCCCAAACTTCAATCGTCACCAGTTGATTAAACATTGTACCGCGAAAAAATTTAAAAATAATGTTCAAAAAGCTCTCTGTTCAGCGAAATACTGAGGCCCCTTCAAAACCTACCGGATATTTTTTTTAAAAAACGCAGATTTTCTTTTCGTCCACATGTAAACGGCGTTTTCGTCCACCATAACGCAGATTCCCTTCCCAGCTTCCTGTTATGTGTGGACGAACGAAAACGGAGGTTTTTCAATATGAAGATGTCATACATCAGTCATTTACTACTAGCATTACGCATGCTCTGTTAGGGATGCTATCATTTCCATTATTTTTAAGCGTTTTCCTGTGGACGTGCGAAATCAATTCAAATACGCTTCGTGTGGACGCGTATTGTTGAAAGCGGAGAAACGATATTTTCTTTTTCAAGAATATCCCGTATACATGCAGACGGGGGCCTTAATTTTTTGCGATGGTGAATTCATTTTTTCTATTCCAATTTATATAGGAAAGGCAGCATTATAGCTGAATTTAAACTGACGTTCAAAACAAGTCTAACTGCCAAAGAAGCCATGGTCCCACTAAAGCAAGAAACAGCCGATGGAAAATTAGGGAGATTAGACGTGGACTCAAACTCTTTAAAACTTAAAGACAACAATCAAGGTAAATGGGTTGAACCCTGGATACATGGCATAAGTACATTGAATATATATGGGCGTTGAGTATAGCTCTTCTAGTGTCGACATTTCTGCAGAGGTCGTCAACACAGTCAAAGTGAGTTGTAACATCTGTCGATAGTGTTAAGACTCTGCATGGTAATTGACATGATTGGTCAATTAGGTCGTCACTCGCTGTATCAATTTATTATTGGCTGTGAAGACTCTAAACGCTTCCCAACAATTCACCCACGTTTTTCTTAGTTAGTAAACCAGCTTTCTAAAGGGACTCGTTTGTAGTCAACTGAAGAGAACGTTATATATTCATCAGGACTGCAGACACCGCGATCATTCCTTTGACCATCATCATTAGATCTTTGAGTGAGAGTATTTTGTGAGATGGTATTTCATTTGTATTTACATGTAGTCACGGACTGCCTTTGAGATATAAAACGTATTTCATACGCAATCATTTTGTTTTAAATCATTGGAGAAATTTAAGATTCATTGCTTCGACAGTTTTGTTTTAGAGAATCACAGAAAGTGACGCGAAGAAAATTTAGTAGTCGGTCAGATTATATCATTGTAAAAAAAACCCATTAAAACTACCTTCAATTGCATATTTTCGGATGAATGAAGTTTGTATTCCACCCAATTATTATTGTCTTACGCAGGTGGAAATAAGGAGGAAGGGTCCAGCAAGTCGTCCAATCTGCCGTTAATTATTGGGGTTACGTGCGGTGCTGTTGTGGTAATTGCTGTCATTATAATCTTGGTCGTTTTCCACTGTAAACGCTCTACTCCAGGTGGTAGTAACAGTCGCGTTGGTGATGCCATGCCTGATGAAGGGAGCGGCTCGAAACGAGAGCGATACGAATTGAAACCAACAGATTCGCAGGAAGAAAACATTGTTTTGGTGGAGGAAAAAGGCATTAGTAACCAAGGAATGGAATAAACGACCTTTTGATACCTCAACCCCCGTCTTGTTTAAACACCCTGATTTTCTGATTGAACGAAATACTATTTAATCCGATGTAGAAAATGTGCTTACAAGTGACGCTTCTTTCGACCGTAATTCACTGTCTTCGATGGGGCAGGCAATTATCGTCACATGACCTCAAACTTGAAAGTTAAACGAAGATTCTAAGCGCCTTAGAGGCATCAGTTATTTTAGGTTTATAAATACAAAATTTTGCGATTGCGGCTGTCTATATCATAACAACAGGGGTATTTAGCAAAGACAACGCGACAACGATGGCGCTTAGATCCAAAAACCTTTCTTGGCCGATGGCAGAACGGCATTTAAGCACCGGAAGTCGCGCTTAGTTACGCTTTCATTTGACCTTGCGATTCTTCTTTTCTTTTCTCTTTTTGCTAAATCTTCTTGGAATTTATCCGTTACCACCTTATTATCTAAAAATCCCACGCGCGCAGATCTAAAAAAAACGACTTCACCAAAGTTTCGTCACTTCCCACTCTACACAATGTATAGAGTGTTTTCTCATGACGTCACGGCGGTCATATTGGTGTCCCAAAACAATGAAACGGCGGCCATGTTGGTGTCCTAAAACAATCCTCTGGGAGTTGAACTCTTTTCTTTTGCAAACGCTTCCTTTTGTTCCAATAAATTGGCATAGACGCTGGCCACGTGAGTGAAAACACTCTATTTTACCTTTACTCATCTTCTCAAGAGATTGATTGTAATAATCATTTACATTGCTTTAAGCCTTGCATTTCCAAAATGGTATCGATCAAAGTACGTCAGTGTTTCTATTCAATGTGGCATAAAACCTTAAAAATTCTCTCACAATTCTGAAGCCATATTATCACTGCTTGCAAATTTTCATGTTTTTGACTGTTTGTATTTAGTTTGTATTTTTTAAAGGTTTTTTCTTTTAGTTTTAGATTTTTTACAAATAGATAAAACGTTGTTTTCGGTTTTACAACACTAAACTTAAAACCGCGCTTAAGTGTCAGTTGACATAGCAGAAGCTTCACCTTGATTTATTTCAGTGTTACGTTAACTATCTAGAGAGAAGTGTGATGTCACATTACCATGGTAGCAAACGTTCTGGATCTCAACAATCTTTTTTGACAGAGACGGAAGAAAAGAATGTGCTACCGCTTTGCTCCAGTGTGCAATCATGTACAGGTCATACATGTCGATATTTTCGTGTTTTTTTTTTCGCCATAAAGGCAAGACCACGGTTTGTTGAGGTCTAGGAATTTTGCTACCATGGCAACGTGACGTAACGACTTTGATCCGTTTAGCTTATTAGGACATTTTTGTAGACCCTAGCACTTTGATGGATCGTTCTGTATCACTGTATAATTTGTTCTTTCTCCCGTGAATTAAGGAATGGGTCCTCGTTACATGCCGGGTTTTATGACTTGATCTTGTTTTTTCCAGTATCTTCCTTTATTTTAATCTTAGACCGCTGTGTTTAAGTCCAGAACCACTTTGGACCTTAAACATTCCTTTTTTTTAGATCACGTGACCAGCCACGCCCATAATTATGCAAAATTTGGACTTTGCAGATTACACCAGTTTACTGAATGTGACCACAATCGTTTTTCCTTCCAAGATTTCATTTACAGTCAAATAAGCTAAATTAATCGGGGATTCGTGAAATGATCCATTCCTTCGTAATTATTAGATATTTTTCTCTCGTCCCAGTCTCCCTCTTAACAAGAAACGTTATAGTTTACAAAACGTAGATAATTTAAGAAAACCCCGATTAATTCCATAAACTTTGTGTCAATAGTCATTGACAAAAAGTGAATTAAATTACAAGTGTTATTTATAAAGTGGTGTACATTTGGATTGAAATAAAAAGTCAAAAATGGGTGTGGCAAGTCACGTGACACAGATAATACATTAGTAATAATGAAAAATGAATGCTTATGGGGAGTAGATATTGAATTTAAAATATTAATGCGAAAGGCAAAATCCCTACTAAAACAGACCACCCCCCTCCAAATTTGCAGTGCCCCATTCCTTAATTCACCGGAGTTTGTAGGTACCCCTCAAGAACCTTAAAGGTTACTTTACTAGACGAATATAAAGTTATCACATGCCGGTAATCCTACAAAACGTGTGTCGAAATTAAATAAAAGATGCTTGCATGCATGAAGATTGCTTTAATTGAATAAATAATTATATATGGAAAAATTTATCACTTGTCCAAAAAAAATGACTTTTTTTCATTTCTAAAAAAATAATAATAAAATAAAACTATATAAAAACATGGAGAAACCCAATATTTTTCCAGCTGCCATGTTGACTGACGTCACAGATCCTGCAGCGAAATATTCCATAACATTTACACTGCGAGATTATATATCATATATCGACTGAATATTTTCTTATCTTCTTCCCTTTTTTGCTTTAATTGGCTGTAGTTCCCGCGATCCTTGTTAATAAAAGAAAATAGCGACGTTCATGCAAGAACATTTGGACACTGACTTTGCTTGTAGAGAGCAGTCCTCAATACGTTAACAGACCTGTCCACGCTTTTTTTTTCTTCTTTTTTTAACTGTTGACATAGACAAGTTAGGGAAAATCCGTCAACTCCGCTAGAAACTGATTTGTTGAAAACTTATAAACGAAGATATAGTTCTTCAAAGTTTCGAAATTTGACTGACGTTTGCCAACCTCGTCCTCAGGGCCGTTTTCCCTGGCTTTTGCCCACCTCCAAAGCCAGCGAAAAGCGTCCTGGGGACGAGGTTGGACGTTTGCAAATGGTGAGGACCACAAATTTTCACAAACTTGCCGGGGCTACATCTTCGCTCACTTACGACGTATTCCTTTCAAAATTGGCAAGTTTACAAATATTAAGGCGCTCTTTCAAGTGGTGTCGGTGGATTTTCCTTTTACCTGGTCCAGGTCAACTCGTCGCGGAAGGCTCTCTACTTTATCCGTGCCAGGATTTCATATGCAAGGGCATTGTGACACAAGAAAAATATATACATTTTAGACTTTCCGCATGATTGAAAGAGAACGTAGGTCATAATAAGGCTTAATATGTAAAATTATTTTGTTCAATGGACTGAAAAATGCAATTCGTTTTAGAGCATAAGCATTCACGCATAGAAAATGGCTTATAAGATAGAGTTAAACCACTAAATGAATAGGAAGTGTCATGTAAATCCAAAAATTTGTAATTAAGTATATATTAGCGGAATTTATAGTTTATAGGAAATTGCACAGTGGAGTTCACGTTTGGATCACACACGAGCGATTCATGAAGCTTCGATCACTAAAGTTAAAACAAAACAAAACAAACAAGCAAACAGAAATTAATAAGTAGTCAGGAGAAACGTGGCAAACCGGAAATTTTAGAATACAAATTGATGCTGATCATTCAATTCTTTGTCAAAGATTTATTTCTATATTCTTCACTTCCACTTCGCTTACTTAATGTTACCCTAATGCTAGATTTTAAGAGGTATCGTTGGATGAAAATTCTTCTTTTTTTTGTTTGATACAACCCTTATTTTGTTTAAAATGTATACTAAAATAAATACACCCCTTGCTGTTGATGTGCAAAACAGTTATTCGTCTGCAAGCCTCAAGAAACAAACGGCAAACAGCCAAAAAACGATAATGAGAAATAAACACCTTTTCGAATAATTCATCTGAACACTGCGACTTTTGATATTCATATAAAAGGTTCCTCTACAGTACTCATACAAGTAAATTATTCAAATCTGGCTGAGTTACGTAGTAACTGTGTATATTGAGCAAGTGTCCTTTTCCAATATTAGTTAAAGAGTTTTAACGTTGACAGTCCTGCTGCGATTCAAACAAAAGCGGTTTACCTCATCACGCATTAAAGGGACTGGTTCACGATAATGCGCATGTGTGAGTTCTGACAGTAGCTGATTGTTTTTCAACCAATCGGAAGCGAGTTAGATGCACGCTAGCCTCCCATTCAGGCATTTTTAGGGGAGCTGGTTTTTCATCCCTCCCCACAAACGCCTGCTCAGCCGGAAACAACATTCCTTTCCCATTGTTTTATTTGCGTGGTAAGTGACCAATCAACAATTTTGCAATAACGTGTTGACAGGCTAAACACGACTGAACGTGACCCTAGAGTTACCGTTTTCCTTCTTTTCTTTCCTTCGCTAAGGTTATGCAGTGCATGGAGTATTCTAAATTTTGACTAAATCTTATTTTTGCCGCTCTGAATCTAACATTTATTAGAGGTCAGAAAGCTTTCCCAGTGTTTAATGCAGATCGAGTAATTATCAGATTACCTTGCGGTCAAGGTCAACTTTGCAGAATTTGGAAAGTACAATGTGATTGGCTAGGCCTGGGAAAGGAATGTTATCTTCGGTTGAGCAGGCGTTTGTGGGGAGGGATGAAAAACGAGCTCCCCTAAAAACGCCTGCATGGGAGGCTAGATGCACGCAAGTAAATCTACAAAATTCAAATTAATTGCTCGCGACGCGAGAGTATTTCCGGGCATTTGGTTTGATTTTATTTATCCCCATAATTCAAGTTTATTCCTTGCTACTCCTCAGATATATGTTGCAGCCGATAAGAATAAGATTTACAGCCCTATCCTGCTTTAAAACAAACATTTACCAACGTGTATTTTTACGAGGTCGTACCCACGCTAACAAAGCAGTCACCGATCGGCAAACAAAACTTGTAAACAAACATCTTATTACTGTTCTCTCAGTTCGCCTTATATAAAACCAGAAATACCTACAAATATATAGCGCCTGACCGGTGACAAAAACACACAACGTATGAGTATAAAGACTATCCTTAATTGAGCATAAATTTCAATTGCTTATCAGCAAATGAACAAATTCATTCGCGTTGCATCGGGTCAGTGTTCCGCAAAACAAATGTTATCGAGTAGCACACATAAACAAACTATATTATAAACAGAATATTCAGGCAATAATTTATTTTAAAAACATCAATTCTTAAACATATACGATCGTAAAGCAAAGATACAAGGAACATTTCAAGTGTATCAGATCGCTGAAGATCGCGCGGCCTGTTGCGGTATAATACAGGTCGCAGTCAAAAATCAAATCAAAGTTGAACAAACTCATGCCTTTAACCACTTTCCAAGTGTCGTGTATTCTTTTCGTAAGCCACACACTACTCCTAGAACCATACCAGGCCCCGGTTGTTCAAAGGTTGGATAGCGCTATCCACCGGATAAATCACTATCCAGCGGATAAGTATTAGGGAAATCAATTACTCTATCCGCTGGATAGTGATTTATCCGCTGGATAGCGCTATCCAACGTTTTAACAACCGGGGCCTGATCGATAGGCTAAGCTTCTCTATCTCCAAAGACTCTTGAGAACGTCCTGTTGCCGGACGGCCACGATGCTCTTCTGAACCTCCATTATCAAAACGTTATTTTTTGCGTCTTCTTAAAACGTA